CAAAGTTCGCAAAATCGGCACACAGCAGCCACTTGAGCATGCACCTGTACCAGCCCGCGTTCACATGTTCAGCAACCTACCATGCAACGCTTCGGCTTTTCAGTCTGATGCAAGTCAACCAGCACCATCCATCCGGCCATTTGTGACTGACTTTTGCGCTCTTCCGTATCGACCGCTGCGGCCAAGCTGTTTGGCTCTAAGAGTCGTGAGTGATGCTCAACCAGCAGCCCGTTACTGGAGACCTTCTTTGCAGCTCACATCCTGTCCCTTCTCGCTATCTGTACGCACGAGCGCTGCGGTAAGCGAAGCGCTCGATTGGACCGAGCCTTCTTGTTCCCGCCTGCATGCTGCATTCCTCCCTTTCGGTCCGGTCCGACCTCGCACCGCATGCTTGCTTCCTGGCCACTAGCCTCTCTCCAGTCCAACGCACAGAGCCGCTAGTCGAGCAAGCTCGGGCTTCGAAAGACGTCGATGAGCGCCGGCCAGCGATGACTGGCAATAAGCGCACGCCACCAGTGGCACGCCTTCCGCGTCTCGACCTACCAGCGACCCGTCTAGTGCCTCCCGAGGAAGCCTGCCTAGTTCTCAGTCTTGTCCGACGCAGCCACACATGCGCATCCGCTCTCGATAGTCAAGAGTCTTCCCTAATTGCGATGAGGTGGCCATGAGTTCGCACTCTTAGTGAGCACCTTGCTTAATCAGATGCCAGACCCTTTGATGCCGATGGGGTTTGATGGGCCGCTTCTTCGCACATACTCGCCGCCGCTGTCGGACAGAACAGCTCGTACACCCTTCGCTACCTCACTCTGCTACGCATACAAGCTCTTCTCAAGGCCAGCACATCGCGCCGGATCGGTGGAGCTGATGGCTGGACAAAACTTCGAGTCCCTCCTTTGACGAAGCGGAGGGCGAGCCCACACAACAGCTCTCCTAGGCCCCCACTGCAATCCCCTTTCTTAAGCGGATCTAATCGGCGTTGGTCTGACCCCTCAAGCCCTTTCGAAAGCGTATTGATGGCCAAAAGAGACCCAGACTGGTGAGCAGGACAGTGCTTCCAGGCGGGGCTAGCAAGCTTTGGAAGCCCCGCATACAGCAGACTGCATTCTTGCGCGAACGCAGCCGATAAGCTAACCTTGCATTTGCAACCCCGCACCAATCACAGACTGCACCTGTGCAGAGGTGCGAAGAACACCCCTTTGTATGCAGAGCCTACGGTGTTTCAACCAGCGCTCAGCTGCATATGAAAGACCTCGACCACACGCGTCGCTCGCAGCTCTAGCGCAGCCTCGGCATCAGCGCTCGTCCTTATCTGGAGACTTGGCGGGCATCCACCGCATTGCTGCCTGGAGCCGGCTCGGCTCCTCTGTGGGCTTAGATGGGAAGGCTCCTCTACAGTAGACCGCCAGAGTGCGTCGCCAACTGCCGCAGCACTTGCTGCACAGGCCGACAAATAGCTCGACCCGTGGAAGCGCGGCGTCTAGCAAAGTCCCGATCGCGGCTCGCAAGCTCTTGATAAGCTTTAGATGCACTTCGAGTGCAATCAACGAAGTGAGTCAAAGAGGTGCATACATCGCGGGAGAGAGCAGCGTTGCGATATAATCGCCCAGCAGCGCGACCTGGTGGAAACGCGCTGAGCTGACTCGACTCGGCTCCTTACTCTACAAACAGAGCAGTGACTATCATGCTGCGAGCCTCTCTTATGCCGCACCCATCACCAATGGAAGGGAAGGGGGACATCCTGAACTCATCTGTTCGACGCTTGCAACCCTCGTACAAGTCTCTGCAGGCTTGGCCGACCATCAAAAAAGAGGAGAGCTTCGCAAGCTTCCATCACCTTTCACAGCTCTGGTTGAGCACCTCGTTAGCGAAGGCTGCGCAGAGAGAGTCAAGCGATGCGGCCACTGGACTTCAATCAGCCCACAAAGCTGGATGCCGTCTTTGGATCGGCAGCAACTTCCAACAGACTAGTCGCAAGCAAGCATACATTATGGCGGTGACCACAGGAGCTTAGCTTGGTCATCGTTTGGCTTTGCTCCATTGCGAATCATATCGATCTATTAGCAGCATCTTTGCTTTTTTCCTGACACGCTCAGCTACAACTCTCTCAAGACCGCCGAGCTACGCTCATCGGGAAGCTTGCAACACAAACGATCATATAGCTTGGGCATCCAGATTCAAGAGGCGCCTCATCGCGACCAGCCACCACGTCGCAGTCAATGCATCTAAACCATGTGAAGATGAGAAGCATTTGTACAGGTCTGTCGCTCTCGTGCACGAGATACGGCCTTGAGCAAAATTTCAACACCTCGAGGGCACCGGGGCAGCGTTGCGCGAGCGGTCTGAGTGTCGAAGGTCACGGTAGCACGATCGCTATACGCTCAAGCCCTTGTGTCGGCGGGCGCAATGATGCATCGTCAATCTGGCCCCTCCGGCTGTGGGTTGCTGCAACAGTGCACTAGCCTCCAGGCCTTTGAGAAGCGCTGTTAGGCGCGTGAGAAAGTCGACTCCACCCAAGCACGCCGCCATACGAATTCCGGTCTGAAGAAGATCCTCAAAGGGGATAAAGGCAAGAGCAAACAAGCGCCATAGTCTACCAGCTTCGTGCGCACAGCACAGCCCGCTACTCACTTGCAACAGACCTGGAAGACAGCTGCAGCTCGGGTCAGCCGCTCTGAGGTGGCGCACGAAGACGTCCCAAAGGTTCTGATCTTCTCGACTTCGTCATTCAATGGACGCTATGCCGAACGCAGTCTTTACACAATCATCGTAATCACCGGCGGAGTATACAGCTTGACAACTTCTCGTCTGAAAATAAGATGCGCTTTAAAGGCGGAACAACAGTTGTGACTCCCCGGCTGTCGCTGCTCGGCTCCATGAGCGGTCACAGAAATTGCTGGACCATGTCGAGCACCGATCAATCCAAGGAGACATCTAAAGTAGGCGTAAGGCGGTGAAGGGAGGGTGAGAGGCTCGAGCAAGGCTTGCGTAAAGGTGAGAGCTTCAGGGCACGTGTATCACACCTCGGCTCGGCCGCTCAATCGCACTTCCTTCCATATACCTTCTGTCAAGCTCTCGATTGGCGGCATCAACAATACGTACATCCTTTGCTGTTCTACGGGACGGCGCCACTGAATCTCTCCTTGACTAGCTGTTTGTGCTTTTAGGCGCCTGCTTTATCGGCTCCTCGCCAAGTTCACAGCAACAGGTGGAAGCCGGATCCTTCGTGAAGTACCAGAATCACACCCGTGACCTCGATACCAAAGACCCACCGGCATCTCTCAGTGCTCCAAGTTTTCTCATCTGCGATCGGCACCACCTGAATTCCGTCGATGAGAGCTATCCAACGTGCAAGACGCCTCGATCAGCTACATCGCACCTGCGTAACAATGCGCAATCTGCGATTCGTGGGTGATCGATGGTCAATTCAGAGAAGGCAGCGCTCGCAGCGTGCGTGGTTTTCTTGCTGCTCGATAATCACCAACGGCATCGGCGTGAGTGTGTCGATCGATAGCTCAGCCAGCCACGTGTGGAGATCAGCGTTTGCTGAGTGACGTGAAAGCCCTATGTCTCGCAGCAGAAATTGTTAAGTCATTGTACCCTTGAGCGCCTGGCATCTAACACGGCGGGACCAAAAGTGCAAGGCGCTCCCAACACTGCCAATCCCGGAATTCTTGATCTCAACATGGCGATCAAGTACCGAAAGCGCATCCTGGGGGCCTTTGTGCTCTTTAGAGCGTGGCGTGCCTGTTCCACACTGAGCGCTGGGCGCGCTATTCCCCAATCCTAGTTCGAGCTGGGAGCCGGTCTGTAGGAGTGACAAGCTTTTCGACCTCCTACCAACAGAGCATTGGGTCGGAGCACACACGGCTGAAAGATCCTAGGCGAACAGAGATGCCAAATCGACTGCGTCAGACTGTGCAACCAAGACATGCGGAAGCCTCTGCTAGGGGACAGGAGAGTCGATGCGACTTGGCATGGGTGATCTGGAGTAATCCTGCACAGCCGAAGAGTGAATGGATACCGGCCCAAGTACGTGACGCATGCCTTGGAGTGTCTGACACTCTTGACTCTTCGCCCTTTTGTACAAAAATCATCCGAGCAGAGATGGTGTATAGACAACAAGGAGCAGAGGCCACGAACGAGGCGGCGACTGAGCCAGCTTCAGACACGACGAACACTTGTGCGACTTTGCGAGAGGGCCAATGCTCAACAAATGCAGCGACTAAAAAGCTAAGAGCGCGCGAGACTGGGTCTCTCACGTCAAAGCAGAGCGACGGACCTTGTTTTTTTCCGGGGCCCGATAAAGAGTGGCAAAGATCGCCCGATGCAATCGGACGAGAGTGCCACGGCGTGGGCTCTTCAAGATGACAGCGATAGAAACAAGCAAGAGCTTGAACTGGTCACCTCTCAAACAAGCTGACGGCCAAAGGCAGCAAGAATGCTCGCAGCGTCGCGGGGAACGAGCAAGTGGCAAACATAGCAACGACAGCGCCGGTATCCAAATTAATGGTTCTTGTGCTCTCCAGCGGATCGTCATCGCAACATACACGGAGAGTCAAACTGAATGAGAGATATCGATGAGAGATGTCCGCTTTGACTGCAGCCATTATCGCTAGAGTTTCAGCGGCCGTCTTGGGTCGGGGTCTGCCGGCTGCCATCTGGATCTGACAGCGAGATGGCAGCTTAACGATCTTGCCATGCGATGGATCAACTCGGTCTGGCATCGTTTTGGTGGTTGACTCGTACTACGGGCGAACTCTGTGGAATCAAAGCGAGTCACTTGTCAGAGTCTTTGACCACGCCGCACAAGTAACCCGAGCAGCTGCGAATGAGAATGGTCCACTCACCCATTCCGCCTCACGCACCGCTATCTGGCTGCGTCCCCCACACGAGCGCGTGCAGTCTTCCTTCAGCCAGGATCAAGGTCGACGAGAGAGTACGCGGTACAGCTAAGACTCATACCAAGCAGAGAAGAGTGTTTGAGACCTACAATGCCATCAAAGCTGACCAGACGCGACTCACAATATCTGGGCGCGCCACTCGATCGCCGCTACGGGTCGCAACAGCCTCGATTAGCCTTCGACCTCCTGGCTTGAGCGAGGGTCCACCGACGCCTACAGCGGCTGAAGAGGCCTACCAGATTCGATGCTCTTGCCGTACAGCGCTCCCGAAGATTTGCCGAGTGAGCGCAGGTCGACTTAAGGCCTGCTATTGAACGCTCTCGAATGATCGGATCGCTGACACAGTTGGGTTGTGCGCCAGGACTCTGACGAGAGGGAACCCTTTTGACATGTTGCCACTTGGAACGTTGGTCGGTGATGGTCGGAGGAAGAAGCTGGTGCTGAGTAGAGCTATGGTGTCGATTGATGCAAACGCAGACCAGGGCGTCAAATTGATGACCGGTAGACCGCCAAAGTCAAGCTACACGACTCACACTGTTTAACTGCTCAACCTGGTGAATGCTGCTGCGCACTGTACCTTGGGCCCTCTGAAGCTGTGGAACTTGCTGGTGTGAGAGGTAACGTCTGACGCCGATCGGTATCGCTGCACACACCCACCTTTCTCGCACTCGCACTCTCTCTTCACGAGCGATCCTTCGATTCTTGCGCATCCGTTCCACTTTCACCTCAATCCTCCTCCAGTTCGTTCCACCATCAACCTTGTCGCAGATTCCCACAGCGGAGATGATGGTATTCACGATGTACTACGTACATACAGAATGTACTACGTACGTGTAGACGCGCGGGGCGCGTGACAAGCTTGAAGACCAACAAAAGCGCCAACAGCATGCAGACCTTGCATAGTCAATCCACTTTGGCGGAGCAGTTTGTTTGAAAAGATGAGCGTTGATCTCACTTGGCGCGGTGAAAGGCTTAGGGCTTCATGTCAGAGTATAGCTTCGGCAAAGATCAATGCAGGGCTTGTGGGCTGGACTGTGTCGCAACTTGTCACAGTGGAGGTGAAGGTATTAGGATTTACGTATACGCGGATTCTGCTACGTACATGTCGCGCGGCGCGCGGGACAATTGGTGAGTAGCAGCGAAACAAAGGTGTTGGTGAGTAGCAGCGAAACAAAGGTGTTGGTGAGTAGCAGCAAAACAAAGGTGTTGGTGAGTAGCAGCAAAACAAAGGTGTTGGTGAGCAGCAGCGAAACAAAGGTGTTGGTGAGTAGCAGCAAAACAAAGGGGATCAAAGCGCCTCTGACCTCGGAATTTTTGACGAGCTGCAGGAGTGCAGAGCCGTTTTTTGGAGATGAGCTTGGAATGATCAAGGCTGTTTCTATCGGGGGCCTTCTTGCTGAGTTGTGCTGCCGGGGCGGGGGAGTCTGAGCGCAATTCTTGGTCAAGGGGAGGTTGAAGGCCTTGTCCTCGCCTCGAAGATCCCAGCAAGGCGCGGCCGATGAGCTATGAGAGGATTTGGTTGCAAGAGTGGCGCTTTGGCTCTGACAAGACACATCATGGCTCCGACAGATACCGGTTCAAGCCTCTTCCAACCAAAGCTGTTGATAGGCTCAATCCGTCAGCCCTGCTTCCTCGGCTCGCTCTCTGCGAGGGAGCTCCAACAACGTTCCAATCCAAGCTGAGGGTGCATGGTGGGTCTCGAACTCATCTGCACATGTCATTGCTAACCGAGTGCCCTCTGACTCAGACAAGCTCGTTGCATCTCAAGCTTGCCAGCAGCAATAGTCAAAAGTGTCTTCTCTGGAGCTCGCCTGGGTTGCGCTGGGTCGGACGTTCCTTTGACCAGAAGGCGCAAGGAGTTCCGAGGCAAGTGAAACTCGTATGAGCGATAAGGTACTCATTCCGGCCTCGATGCTCAGCACGCTTGTGGATCAGCCCACTTTTGGGGCACCCAGAGCAGCGAGCTGCTACGCCAGGAAGGACTTAAGTTTGCTGCACCAGTCGTGAACACTTACTCGGCTACAGGATAAACATCGGGCAGCTAGGATACCGAGTATCGTCGCAGCACCAGGAAGCACTCATCTCAGACTACAGTCGTGAATGCACCACTTGTGAGTACTCATTTGGCAACAGGAAAATTATCGGGCCGTTGGGATACCGGCTAGCGACGATGGTTGGAACCACTTGGAAGAGGGCGTAATGGCTTGCCTTTGTTGGGGACAGAACAGAAAGCCCGCGGGCGCTGGACAATGCGCTCCTGCACTGATTTGGCAAACTCGCTGCACCATGCCATTCTTCAAGCGAGCCCGACTGATTTGCTTGTTGTCTACAAAAAAAATTTTCACTTGGACAAAAGGTGCGCTGCATGGGTAGCAACGCCTCAACTGCGCGGGTAGGTGCTGCGCAATCGTTTGGGTGAGGCCAAGAAGAGCGCAGCGGCCTATAAATAGAGGCAGTGAAGCTCGTCTTCTCTCGACCCTTACCACAAACCAAAAACTTCTCTCTACACACCTCTCAACACCATGTCGTACACTCCTTCACGTCCGCTGGCTTTGCAACTCAATAAAGGCCATATCGTCAATCAGGGAATCATCGAACAAGGAAACAAATCCCGTGAGATCTTGCAAAAGATCTTCCAGAACTACCCCCAAATTGACCGCCTGCGCTGTCAAGGACACCTCCAAAACATGTCAAAGGCCATGGGCCACGTCTCTCAAAGGCATAGTGCAGTCTACGATCTGCTTGAAAAGGCTCAGGTCGATGCCATGGTGAGTCGCTTGCGCTTGTGGCTCGGTGGTAGAACTCGGTGGCCAAACCTGTGCAGTTGAAGGGCTGTTGCTCACCTTTCCTCTTCTTCTCTTCCGGCAGATCTCTGCGCTCTGCGCCGTTGCCGAAGCTTACAACCTTGGCTTGCCTCCCCGCGACACCTTCAATGGCAATGATGTCCAGTATGTCGAGTGCTTGACAGGCTGGGTATGGGTAAGTCAAACCTGCCTTGTAACCTAATTGGATTAGCTTGCAAACGCTCACAATATGTGGCTCTTCATGTTTGCAGAGTCACGCCACCAAGAAGCGTGCAATCCGTGAAGCGCACCTCTCGTCTCCGTCCAGCGTTACCAAGCTCTCAATCAACGCAAAGTGTACTGAGCTTGCTGAGATGCTTGCTATGTATACGCTGGATGAAGACCAGCTCGATAACCCGGACGAACAACAGGAGGAAGCCGATCCATCGCTGCCCTCTTCTTCCAAGCGAGGCGCAAGCGACAGTCCGCTTGGGCCTCAAGAACCTTTCAAAAAGGTACAGACCTTGGACGGTGGAGGTGTGAAAGAAGACCCCGACGGCCCCGAGAACGTTGACACTCCTCGTGTCAAAGGTAAAGGCAAGGTGCACGCTCTCCCACTCGAGCAACGTCCTTCTGCCTTACCCCGGTGGTGACAAGAGCGGGGCTTCTGACAAGCATCGCCCCTAAGAGTCCGGTTATCGAGCTGCCGTACCACGCTGTTGGCGGTTCCAACTTGTGGCATGTTGAATCACTTGTGACATTCGGCAATCCATGCATCATGCAGCACGTGAAAATGACTGTGCGAGGTCGGGCACACGAGCATACCCTCGACTCGTGACTTGATAGAGAGCGCCGTCAGGTTCTTGCTGCTGAGAGAATCACGTGAAAGTAGGCAGCTTGCGAATCACGAAGCTGTTGTGAGTCTGCCATGGGCCATACGAGTTCGTGCTCGTCCGGCCGCGCCGAGAGCTGCTTTTCCAGCTACCGCATGTAGCAAGTGCTGCGCGCATGCTTGACCGACACGCATGTAAACGCCACTGTACATGCATCGACCGCAATCATCAAAACATCCATCATCACTGTGGGATGGTACCATCGCCACTCAGACGCACACTGTCTTCACGCATTCATCACCACTCAAGCCCATCAGACGGAGCAGCCTATTCACGTCACCACGCCCTTGCAATCTTCGCCCGAAGCCGAGTGCGAAGTCGACGAGACACTGTTACAAAAGGCGAAAGAGGCACAAGAAGGAATCAAAGAGATCTGCCAAGGCTTGCCCGAAGGCGAGCGTCTGCGCTTGGAGGCGTGTATGAAGCGCATCACGGATGTCAATGACCATGTCTACAGCAAGTACAAGGAGACTTTCGCTGTTGTCAACTCATACGATCCCGATCTTGCTGTGAGTGTCGCCACACACCTCGAACAAGAAGAGAGTGTCCGATTTCGTTGGTAGCGCTTGTCGCTCTCTTGACCGAATCTGGTACCCGTTCAGATGCAAAGTATGCTCAATGTGGCAAAGTTACTAAAGATCCCGCTGCCGCCCGCAGACTCCTTCAGCAGCGAAGCAGAGCATGCAAAGTCTTTGTCGGATCTGCTTCGAGTGAGTCTTCCAAATGCTGCGTCATGGGGATAGCATTCTTACCGGAGCTGTCAAACAGGCTAAGGCGCGTGAGAAGCTTACTCAGGAAGGGCGCTCGGGGACCGGACAGCCATCGGTGACCATGGACATGCTCCTGGAGAAGATCAACAGTCTGCCCGAGGAAGTTGCCAAGGCTCTGTACCCTCAAGCTCGTTCCGAGGTCGAGGTCCTCCGAGCTGAAGACGCTGGAGAGGAGAGCATCATGGTTAAATATGAAGCTGAGGTCGAGGTGGGGAAAGGGAACTCGCCTCCTACTGCAGGACATGAACACAAAGGAAGCGATGGAACGAAGGCACTTTCCATCAACAGCCCACTGGCGAAATAGACACCTTTCAAGAAAGAAAGCATCGTGCGTGCAGAGGCAATGCTTCCTCGCGGCCGCCTCCTCTCAAGGCGCCACCAATGGCTCCTTCTACTTCGGCTCTCGAGTCTTCTCCGTCGCCAGCAGTGCGTAATGTCCGCACGGCGCTCGGACCAGGACCATGAACAGATTTCACCCGCTCCGGCTCTGTAGCTCATCCAAGGGCATCAACAGGTTCTTCAAGACGCGCTTTCGATTCCTTGACTCCAGCCCTCACTCCCATCTTTGGCCTTCAATCAAGACTAGCAAAATGGACCGACAAAGTGCTATGCAGGCTTTTCCTCCATCATACGTTTCTCCGACTGGCCCCAAGGTCTGGAGCAGTTCGGCTTTCAAGTCGTCCAGAAGCGATCTTCCCTCTCCTGGTGTCCGCAACACGGCTCGGTGCGTGATCAAAGCTTCTTCACCCCAAACAAGAATGACGACGCGTCTTGAAAAGTGATTCAGGCTTAGGCTAGCGTCGAGCCAGAACCTTACGCCATTGACTTGTATGAGTATAACGAGTCTTGTCAAAATGTTCGTGATTGAATGAGGATAGTAAGAGCAGCCGCGAAGCTTCAAAGTCGCAACATTACAGGGAGGTCCTGCTCGTGTGCTGCCACGTGGCATCGCTCTCTCCCGCCGCATGAGCAAGAGCCACCTCAACGCGCGCCTTTCTGAGCGAGCGCGGTGGCCGATCCATGAGAAACGTGCAAGCGTTTCGCCTTCTTTCCATCATTCTCTCAGCGTCAGCGCAGCCGCTAGGAATGGCAACCAGCGACAAGCACCGGCAGATCTCTGCAACAGTGATTTGGCATGTATCACAGACTAGATGAAGCGGATTGGGATTCGACCCTCACTGACATTCCATCAATTGCCCCATGCATGCCTAGAGCTGCTTGTCAGGTTCATGTCGACAGCGGCACCCCAGGCATTCACTCACACCGACCATCTCCAAGAGGAGACGGGTGTTCTGAGGTCGGGGGAGCAAATGCTGCAGCGCATGTATGCTCTGCTCGACGAGCTTGTGGTGGAGAAGCTGGCCAACGCTGCCTCGCTTGTGACGAGGCGAGAGAGTAGAAGAGCCAAGTTCTTACAGGGAGAGAGGCACTGGCATGGAAAGATCGTAGGATTGAGACGTAGCTCTATGATATATGTGAAGTAAGACTCGACGTGGCTATCTCACGGCAAGTGCAGCACTCCTTTGGCTTGATCGCTCCTTCAGAACGCACTCCCCCGCTCCATCAGCCTCATGCGTACAGCTACAGCCTAGGCATCCGGTCGCTTGGCGGACGGACTGTGGTGCAAGCGAGCCATTTTGCTAGACGCAGGCATTCAGCCCCTTTAGGAGCATCGTGGAAAGGGACCAATAATGTCAGTACAAACTTTTGACGAGTACATGGGCAGGGCAAGCGGTCAAGAGACGCACCGCCTCTTCACTGTGGCTGAACTCCACCCCATCGATTGCTCTTGTTCGCTCTCGGCTGCTTCACCCCTTTGCATCCCAAGTCTGCAACACTCCGACACGCTCACTTTGACGCTCAGCTCAAAGGACTTTTGGCGCTCACGAGGCTCAGCTTCGAGAGCGCGCCACCGAGCATGGCATGAGAGCGCGCTTCTTCTGCTTCTCGGCCCAAATCATTTCAGCCATGACCTTCTGCTTCGACGCTTCAACTCCCACAGCAGCAACGAACACGTCGTGCTCGATCTCCGCCACGCCACAGTGCTCCCACTCCGCCACATCGCTGATTCACGCTTGGCATGTCGAATTCCGTGGCACCGATGCGAGGTCGGAGCACATTCTTGGGGCGAAGGATAACATCTCGCGTCCAAATGTTCCTGCGGAAAGACGAGACTGATAAGCGAGGCGAGTGCAGAATGGTGCTCAACCGCGATAGGGCGAACAACTGCTGACTTACTTCCACTCCTACGCCTGGCTTTCGTATTTGCTATGGTCAGCAGACGTACCAAAAGGCGCCAAGTCCAGACGCCTTTCGGCACGCAATTTCTTCGGCTTTGTCTGTCGACCCAAGCTTGAAGCGCTCTCTGGCGAAGTAGACGCGATAAAACAGTCCCGCACATGGCTCAGCCTCATTGATGCATGTATCAGTCGTGATTCCCAGTGTTTGGCCAGACGGAAAGGATCGGGGCGCTTGCTTGTGAATGGAGAGGTATGGGCTGCCAGTCCAGCGTAGCAGCAACAAGGATACTTGTCGTGCTTGAGCAACCGGCGCGAACCGCAAATGAACACAGATCAAGCTCCACAGCAGCGGACAAATTCCTTGATGGTAGGAATGGACTGCGTAGAGGGTTGTCGGTCTCCGCCCGTCAAAGAAGCTATCGGTAAGTAGCCCAGAATGCTTCTGGGCAACTTGCAGGACGAATCACGAAAGAGCGTCAAGATTGCTCCATTATACGGATTTGCCACCGGCTTTTTTCACCCTTCGAAGGCTTTCATGTTGTCGGAGACTACTTACCTGTTGTGTAGTATTTAGCTGCAGCAATGTGATGCTGCGCAATGTCCTACACATCATGAAAACATAATCGCGGATCAGCAATGGAAGCGGCCGCTTCTACGCAACATTCCGTATGAAGAGCCGTTCTCACTCTCTCTGTCATGATCTGGAATTTGCGGCTGTCTGTAGAAGATGCCGTTTAGCTGTTCGGATGAAGCCAGAACGTCGTTCGAGCCAGAACATTGACCTCGGGCGCGGAAGTCAAGGCGGTGGACTTGGTAATCTTGGAGCTGAGACTCGAGAAGCTGACACCACGGGCTCCGACGGCAGAATGGTGGGCAGCGTTGTCGAAGTCCTGCTGGCAGACTCCCAGCTCTGGCTTGTCCTCGTGTCTGATGAGTGTAAATGCGCCAAGCGCGGGCGGTAGGTGCCCATGCGAAGACTCGGCGCACGATGCTATGCTGCAACTCCAAGACCTGTTGGCGTAGCTGACACTGATTGTCGTGGACGCGCGTCTTGTTCGCGTCACCCAATTAGCATACTCGCAAAAGAACTTGTAGACTTGACTTGGTATGGCTAAGAGGTGCCAAGCGGTCGTCACGGAGAAAGCGGGCTCACGTGGTGGTTTTGCCCTCGGTCACAGCAGAGGAGAGATAGCTCGGATGAGCGCAGACGAGGTCATGCCCGAGACATTCACAGACCAAGCGACGGACGCGCTGCTTAGGTCTAGGGTCAGCAGCCGAAAGGTATGGCACCCGCGTCTCATTCGATATCCATCTTCCGCGACTGATGATGTCGAGCGTAATTCACGCCTAAATCCAAGCTCTCTGTGTCATCTAAGTCCTTGAGCACGGACGATCGCTCCGGACAGTCCTGAGGAAGCGGAAACTCCTGCACTGTGCGTAAGGCTAGCCCATCTTTGACGGTGGAATAGTCCAGCAGTAGTCGAGAGTACTTGGCGTTGGTAAATACTGCAAAAAGACATTTTTTGTCCTTCTTGACGAAATGTGCTTCCATTCTTGACGAAATGTGCTTCCATTCCATGGCGCTGGTAGAAAGTTGGCAGAAAAGCAGAGCAGGGGGACGAAGTTAGCGATTGCTGCTCTCGCTAGCTATGACCAAGCTCTGAAGTATACTCTGAGACTTCCCAAGACGCTCAAGCCCATGTCTTGTGCCAGACTCGATCAGGAGAATACAACAAGCAGAGCTGCGTGTCTTCGAATTAGACGCCGCAGAGGACGCCGCGGACCTCAAGGCTATCTCCGCGCTCCCACTCACCCGTAGGCATCCAGGATAGATTGACACCCTGTACCGAAGTCACGCGCCCCATATCAGATAGAGGTCCTCGAGGATAGTTGCTGAATGTTGCTATGTCGGGTCGTCCCGTCGAAGCAAGCGCCTCAGCGCTCGAAGAGAGTCCACGTGCAAAAGTTATAGTGAGCAAACCGCTGTGCGGCAGCTTTGAGAAGGCTAGAACGCTTCGGAAGCTGCTTCGCCTCAGTGGCGCGAGCTGCCACAAAGATCTGAATGCCAGAGCAACGATGCGGCTCAGCTGTCTCTGAGTGCAAGCGATGTCGGCTAAGCTATACCGCAAGAAAGAAATGTGGGGCGCAACAAGGCCAAGCGCTGAGAGGGTCGTGCAAGGAACGCCCAACCACCCCCCCTCGCGCCTGCCTAAGAGCTGTTCCATTGCTTGAAATCGATGGCAACGAGTGGCGAGAGCAGCGGAGGCAAAGCCTGATTGAACAGACCGATCACAGCCTACTGCAACATAAGAGTCCTCAATAGTCCCGTAGGCTTGAATACAGCGGCGTTGTCGACGAGTGACAGAAGAGGGTTACCTCTGGAGGCTGCGATAGGCGTATCTCAAAGATTGATATTGTGACGAAAGTAAATCTGTCTTATCTGCTAATGTCTCACGCGTCCAAGGTCCGCATAGTCCAAGCACCTCGCAAGTACCGTGCGCGAAGTCATTCGGCACACCAAAAGGCGCGGGCTCCAGGCAGCTAGCAATGCTTCCCTCGATTGCGCAAGAACTTTGCTGCCTTGTGGGGATTTGTGCGGTCCCTCGATGTTCCCATTGCGAAGGCCCCACTTCCATCCTTCTGCTTCGAGGGCTCTCAGACCTGCCGCCTGCTATGCCGCCTTGGAATGCCAGCCGAGCGCGGAATTACATGTGACGAAGGGTGCTGAGAGAAGAGAAACACGCAGGGACATCTGCAATGCTAAATAATCCATCTCGCGCATTTGATGTGCGATGGATAGCGACGTGTGGATTGTAGTCTGGTAGTCGGGGCTCTCAGCGACCTCGTTGCCAAGTTGCTTCATTGCCTGCCAAGCGTTGGAGAAAACGTCTTGAACTTGGTTCGTGGGGCACGATGACTTGTCGACGCTCGAAGCACAGCCGTAGCAGTTCAAGGTCGACAGAGAGGAAAGCTGATCGCCCGTCTGATGTCAGCTGACTGCCGGCGGTAGGGGCGTGGGATATGGCGGACGCCAGGTTGTGTTGTTCGATAAGGAGGAATAAGTGAGGGTCCATCCCATTGTAATCCCACATTCGAGAGGAGTAGCCCCCACATTGACGCCACAAACAAGCCTCTGGTGGTCAGCAACACGAGTTCTCGAAGATCGAGGCGAGAGCACGAAGCAATGATCATATCAAGCGATGGCAGATACAAAATGGAGAGAGGTCAGCTTGAGTCTTACTATACTGAAGTCGTGCCGTGGATGCTCCTAGACCAGCCAGCGCCCTGCAGTCGCGATGCCGATCTGTGACCGCGGTCCGGGCAGCATCGCTCGAAACGCGGCTGATGTGTAGAAGCTAAGCCCGCTGGACGAGCGAGACCGCGCAGAAGAAGCTGACAAGGATGCCTCTACTCACAAGGTCATCATACTTGCAAGAGGCGTCCGTGGTAGGTGAGGCGCCTTCATGACGCATCCCACCATGCCCTCAGTGCTGTTGATAGCTCGCGTTAGCCCGGCCCCTTGGCGAATCCACGTCTCCAAACTGCCCTGACGTGCGAGAGCACCTCACTTGCACGAGACCGCTCCATGAAGCTTGCCAAGAGCTACAATCGTAAGGGTGGGGTCGTTGGTTTTCGCAATCGAACATGTGCTTTGAAGCTTCGGCACATTTTTGCACAGCGCCTCTCGCCCCGGTTCGCGAGATGTTGAGCGACGAGACAAGGCAACGTGTCTTGGTTCGGCCAAGGACGCCGGAACTTCCGCAGGACCAAGACTTTCTCCACTGCTCGATGGTGTGATCGAATTGGACCAACGGAGGCAATGGAAGACATGCTGCGCATCCAGCAAGTTCTGGCGTGACCATCCCGGCAGTCTCGTTGCTCATTTGAGCCGAACAGTCAAGGCAACTGGCAAAGTGTTGTTGACAAGGGTAGACGTCACTATCCGTTGTTAGCCCCTTTGGCCTAATCCAAGCTCGTTCGGCATCTCGACTACTTCTTTGCGCGTGCGCATGTGTACTGGCCGCGTGTAGGCCCGAGGCGCCCTTCGTGGGACAGTGGTCATCTCGAGAGTCCGAAGCTCGGGTCTTGCAAGACTCGCCTGGCTAATGCGGTCCTTCGAGCACACAATACTGGATAGGCCAGAGGACCTGTTGTCGCATCGAGACTCTATCCACATCGCTCCTTTGTTGGCTTGCGCTGGTGCTCTGGACTCAACATTTCCCATGCGAGAGATGCTGTCGTCTTCCTCTTGCCAAGAGAATCGTGCAAAATTCGAAACAGCACTTCATGCTACGTGCAGCTCTGTTGCTGCTAGCGAAACGGTGCCAGCTTGACACGTTCATTGCCGCTTGGCATTGCTGAAGACTGTGCGGTCCGTGAGGCCGTGCATGACACTCCCAGAGCTCCGCTCTTCTCAAATAGGCCGGCAAGGCGCAAGAGCAGCATGTACTTGCATTATGTTGAGCACCAGGGACCGACAAAGCAGATGTCGGCTGGGATGAGCTGAGGTGCGGGAGACGCGGAGTTGTCAGACGCGTACAAGTAGGCAGAGCAGTACCCATCGAACCACGACCAACTGTGCGCAAGCGAAGCCGTCCGGATAAGTTGTGGCCAAAGGGCGTAGGATCCGCCTAGTCTCGATGTCGTCGGCGGTAGTGGATGTACGCACATCTCCATGTAAAGACCTGCATCGAAGCAATCAGGATCAGAGGCTCGGTGAAGAGAGTCGATTTGTTGCAGTGAGTCTTCCAATTTCGAGATGAGCGAGTTGAGGTGCGAACCTGGCCCAGGCCGCACGACGTTGAGGAGAAGCCCGGCGCGATGCGATCAAGTCGCTTTGCGAGGAGCATAACATCAACTGATTTCTCGTCGCATCCTTTCTAGGCAGCACCAATTGCTCCTGCCCAGATTGAGCATGAATGATGACGAGCGCCAAAGAGAACAGCTCAAGTCGGAATGTACCTTAGTCCCAGTAAGAGAGATCGTTGGAACGAGGCGGAATTGTAGCCCTTGCTGAGCCTTCGTAACAATAATTGGCGTCAACGAGAATGAGCGCACGCGTGTAGGGAGCGCACGGGTGTAGGCAGCGCACGCGCGTAGTGACCGGAGAGCGCTCTTACTCTCGTCGATGAGCGCCAGCAACTGAGGTGCTAACAAAAGTACCGATCGCAAATTTGAGACGATTAACCACTCTCAAGGTCACTGTCAGGCGCTTCCGCTTTCTCTGCTTGACTTGTCGATCAGATTTTCCTTGCGGGCAGAAGAAAGTGAAAGGCGCCTTACAAAGCATGTATAGGTGGAATGAGCCTGGCGATCTGTGACTCATCTTCGCGCCGCACTGGAGACCAAGTCGCTGCCTCAAAGTCCTAGACTGGTTACGAGATCAAGGGCAAGATCGCCAGGCTGCCAGTGTGATGAGAGCAGTGGCGTGCGGTCGATGTCCGATGAGCAGGATCGCACGAGGGGAGAGGAACTGATACAACCTCAAATGCTGGTAAGCAAAAAGCGTGAGTGAGCTCAGTCGATGAAGAGACATCGTAAGTAGGCGTGTCTGCCCACCCTGAGAGTGCAGCGAGGAGACGTCGGGGCGCTCTCCTAACCAGATACGAGCACCTTGCTATGGCAGTGAGACCAGAAATGCAGAGCGGAAGGCAGCCCACCGATCGCCGGGAGTGGAGTCGCGTCGTTGATGGAGCATAGCATCATGGTTCAAGTGGCAACCTATTGGCTAAGCAATCGCAAGAGTCCTTCCTGAATACCTCCTGCGGCATCACGCTTGCTTCGTACTGCTCGAACAAAGACACAGCGTCTCCTGCGCAAGTTCCGCCGCGAGGTGCATGCTTCATGGCTCTTCCTATAGACCATGGCACTGAAGGGCGAGCAACGCGGTGCGTCTGACAACGTTCAAGTGCAATTTTTGAGACCTCGGATCTAGCTGATGCAATGAGAACCGCCGGGCCTGGCCATGAGAGTTGGTGCATGAGCGCGGAAGCCTGAGGGGTGCGCTGGCACAGCCGACGAGGCCCTCGAAGCGGATCGCGATGGAAGTAGTCTGTCAGATTTGATGATGCGCTAGCAGAGCCGGCGGGTCGCTTGACTGCAAGCAAGGGGACAGCGATGACGATGAGCGGTGGAGAAACTGACTCGCGCGAACCAAATTCCATGGGATATGACTTACAGCGTCCTCGCTGACGTTTGCTAAGGTTGACCGACTAGCGAGGCGTCGAATGTCGTGGATCGTCAGCTCCTGGTTCAAGCCCTCCGGTCGCTCCCTCAAGTCGATGCACCCAGCGTCACCCAGCCACGGGCGCTGCTCGCTCGCGTAGCCTCGGGCCCTTGTGCTGCTCCTGAACGCACCGACGAGATGCAACGTTTCGAGATGGACCACTCGCATCGACGGAGTAGTCGAGCTGCGACTGCGCACGTAGAGGTCGACATGACGGTAGACGTTGATAGCTTGCAGCTGTATCGAAAACGATCGAGTCTGATTCGCCTATCGTAGAGGGGCATAGGAGCGCGCCTAGATCGAGAGCGGTCGGACCGCTTCTGAAGACTGCGCTAGATTGCTGGCATGCATCGACTTGCCGATGCGTCAGGCATGCTGAGTTTATGCATGAAGAGTAATCTGAAACCAGATGCTCGGCTGGTGGTGGTGGACGACGACACGGCAGCTAGCTGAGAGGTTGTTGACCAACACCGGCACTGGAAGTGCGACCCATGCAGGAGATCTCCGCTGCAAGATCACAATCCATTGCTCTGGTCGCCCGCTGCTGCCTATAGACGACTTCTGCTCGACTTGGGCCCAGTAGAAGCCCATTCGCTGCGGGTCAAACGGGTGCAGACATCCAACGCCGCATCCATGCTGGCCCCACCCGGCGCATGGACGTCGGTGAAAAGTCAGTCACCCACCCACGCATATCACGCCCCTGCTCATCGAGTCCTCTGCTACCAGCAGGTCGACTCACCTGTCGCTAGTGTCGCGCTGTAGGCGCCTCCTCCCCATGCCTCATCCTCCCCGTGTCTCATGACTGGCTGATCCGGTATGCCTGAACTGTCTCCCCGTCCACCCCCGTCCACCTTCTCGCCAGAACCTCTCCGCCCCAAAGTATAGGTGCCGCGCGTGACATGCGAGCGGCTGCTCATCTAAGTTCAGCTCGCGCCAAAAGCTGGGAGTAATCGGGCAGGATCAGCACGTGCAGGTGCAAATACGCTCTCCGCTCCAAGACTTACCTGAGATATCCTGAGCCATGATGGCAGCCAAGTGATGTCAAAGATGAACAGAGAGCAACTTGAATTGGGAGAGGACACCTCATCCTCGCTTCCGGTCTTCTTGCAAGACCTCTAAGTGACCCTCGATGAGTCAGGTTGATGTAGGGGCCATGCCATGCGCGAAGACGCTTGGAATAGCTGCAAACGTGCGAGCGTGGCCTCGCCAAGAGTGCGCCGCCCGACAGCATGCTCGATGAGGTGAAGTTTTGACGGCGCTAAGCCAGCAGTCTGACAGACGATGCGAGTTGAAGAAGCGTCAGGAACTGGTTCTGCGCCCCTTACTAGTGCCGAACCTTCACTCGATCTGTGAGACTAGGTAGTAGTCGCATCATGATTGGTTGAGATATCTCCGCAGTGGGGCAGTTGTTGCAGCAGCGCGAAAAAGGTCGGGAAGTCTGTACACCATTTGCAGGACACTCGAAGATCGAGCGGAGAAAGTGTGTACCGGCAGAATGGTGTACATTGTGGTGGAATGTTGCGGTGATGAATGCGCGATTGCAAAGTCTGGGAGATGGGGAGATGGTGTAG